TCAAATATTCAGAAATTCACAAATACATTTTTATTAAAATTTTAACATTATGAAATTAATTTTTTCATTAATTCAACATATTTTATTTTGCAAAAGTCCAAAAAGACATTCATTTTGATTTGTATTTCAATATTATAAATATACACATTATCAGAAATGGTATTAATTAACTATAGGCTATTAATAATTATGGCACTTTTATAATAATCATTTAAAATTAACTTATAAAAATTATTTGTAGATTTATTTATAAACATAAAGATAAACTTATCTTTCATTTCTTACCTCTCCTAAAGTACATTCCAGAACACTCAGAAAATCATCATCGGCAAGAGTTTTAGTATCATTATCAATATCATATACAACAAATTTCAATTTTTGAACTTCTTCAAAAAAATAATCTATTTTGATTGATCTACAAAAATCTGGATTGTGGTTATTTTTTATGATTTCTGTCCTTCCCACCTACAGATTTAAACAATTAATTAATTAATTTAATTTGAAACATAACAATGTAATAAACATTTACAAAAAACATAAAAATATTTATATTAAAAATAAAATAATATTATGCATCAAATATAAATAAATATAAGTGTAAGGATATATGGTGCTAATTGTCACTGCCCGATACCTAATTCATTAGGAAATCAAACTCAGTGAGGGTTTGCAGATAAAACCATGTTTGTGGGTGTAAAAGATTTAGACTCAAACACCTTTACAAACTTTTTCATTTATTGATACAGAAATTGTCACTTACATCTAACCTTCTTTTGTCTAGAACAATAGTTTTTAAATCCAATACAAGTTTGGATGATGCCGGGCTGGAATGGAGTTGTTGATGAGGTGGTCGGGATCATTTACTCTAGAGATTTGCAGAACACCACTCTCAAGCAGAGGTGTAAGATGGTGACTTCTGTGTTTCCAAGAGATGAAGTCATGCATTTATTAGGAGCCACCAAAGGAGAAGGTACTTGATGACAGCTTGCTGCAGCATAAAATGGATTTGCATTCCATGGCTAGATCAAGAACATGCTTGAAGAAAACATACTAAGTTGACTGGTAGATACTAGCAGATTAACAGAGAAAGTGAATTGACACAGGTTAGGGAAGAATGGATAGAGCTTGAGATGCAGATTTATATAGAATTTATCCATGGACAAAACAATTTAATCTGCAACAGAGCCTACATTGATATTTCAGAGTCCAAATATCAATGTAGGCCTTGTCGCAGATTGTACCTTTTCTGAAGAGGGATCAGCAAGGATTCCAATCCCAAAATTCATTTAAATAAAATATCTGAGAATTAATCATTTTTCTAAGTAATTCTTGAACTGGGGTGAGTGTCGGATCCAAAGGACATAACATGTCAATTTATTTGTTCAAAAAACCAATTTTAAGTGATTATAAAAGTGAATACTAAATTTTATCTGAGAGAATTTTTCTACTAAAAATATCATTTGAAATCAAGTGTCAATGATACATGATTTCAAATATGATATGATGTAGTTGTCAGGACATGATATGACTTGATATCAGTTGTTGGAAAATGTTATATGATATGACAGCACTTCAAATATGTTTTACTCAACACACAGTAATATCAATCATTCTTATCTGTTAAAACATTTTGTATGTTTTTGATTTTTGAATCTTTAACAACAACTAATGTCAAGTGATATTCATGTTGTGACTGACATCACTTGATATCATCTATAACATTTGACATCATGCCCAAAAGCTTTTGAAAATATCTTTAAAAAATTTTATTGTTAATTAAAGATTTCTGGCATCTATAAAACTGTTTAACAATGCACTTGGTATCATTTGAAATCAATCAGAAACTATTACAGAAATGATATAATGTCCAAAATCATTTTGGACAGTCTCAAATGACATAAAATGATATTACTTGTAATTATTTCATTAATTGATATGAAGTAATATCATTCTTATTATTTAAAACTGTCCAAAAATCACTTGATATCATATAAAAACAGTAAAATATTTTTACTAGGATTTATATTTAAGAAAAATTTGTACAAAATTAAAACATAATTGAATTATTAAATTTTATTCTGACTACAGAATAATTAATTCACTTGCATAGATATATTTTAAATTTTAAAAACTTACTTCAGTAAAACGTCCTCCAACATTTAAATAAAGCACAACTGTTGGGTCAGATTTCGACGTTGCATCTCTGTCAATCAAACAGCGACAACTCACAAATAGTTCCACTTGAGTAACACATGTTGTTGGAGTTGGTCTAGAAATTCCTAGAGATGCAGGAAACTGTGCCATCTACAATATAAATTAATTTTAATTATTATTAATTTAATATCAATTTGGCTAAAACAAAGTTATTTCTTTCAAATATTTTCTTTTATATTTTCTATTACAAAAAAAAAATATATTTTACAGAATTTAAAATATATTAAGTAAATTCAATGCATACATGTGTATGCATTTAATTATCTTATGGTGTTAAAAATATTAAAACACAAACAACAAAAAGCTGAAAATTATTCTAAATATGCATTTTGAAAACATGATGACTTTTGTATTTATATTCTAATGTTTTTATTCCATTTTTGTTTTAATAGCCTGATGAAAATAATGTAAACATTATCAAAAGTGAATGAAAATCACAATAGTATAATTGGCAATTTTTATTGTGTTTATTTCCACAGTTTTAACATTGTAAGACAGTCTAATATTACTCAATGTACAGAGATATAACAACAAATTATTGATATGTACTGTACATATTAAGAATTGAAACAGTATTCTAATTATTGTACATCAAAAAGTATTTTTTTGCATATGTAAAAAGATAGATAAACTGTAATAGATAAGTGACTAGAAACAGACAATGTATATAAATAGACATGTATATAAATATTTTGATTTACACTATGAAATGTCCTAAAGACCAAGGATTTCCTCCTCCAATGATAATAAAAATCCAAAACATCACAAGAATTCAAGAATAATACAAAATATATTAACAATGACATTTAAAACATATAAAATCTTGGTATAAAAAATGTTCAACATTGTATACATTATTCCATTGTTATGCAAAGAAGGGGGCGAGGGAGACCGCGTAAGGAAGACGCTAAAGAAGTTGAAGAAAATAATCAATTGATAGAGCTACTGGGAGAAGAATATCTATCAGAAGATTATGCGAAGGAGTCTACTGGTAATTCTAGAAATGCTACAATTAGAGACTTATTTGAACCGACAGGAGAATCAGTGTTACAAAATTGCGAAGAGTCAAAATATTCACTTAAATCAATTTATGAGTTGATTCAGGAAAAGTTCGATAGCTTAAATCTGAAAATTCAAATAATAAAATCTGAAATCAACATCATGAAAAAAAACAATGCCAAGGTCAAGGAAGAGATGAAAAATATTAGCCAAAAGATCCACACACTGGAAGAAAAGTCTAATTCTTACACCAATTTAAAAGGTATGTTGGAATTTGAATTCGATAAAATGTTAAATGGAAATACAAAGGAAAATTTAGTTATTTTGAACTTTCCATTTAAAACTCTGGATGTGTTAGAAGAGTTTAAAAAATTTACTAATGATGTTCTGGATCTTAATAATATAGAAATTGAGGGCCTTGTTCAGTTAAAAAATAATCATAATAAGCAAATAATAAAAATCATAATGGAATCAGTTAAAGACAGAAATATAGTCCTCAAAAAATTCTGGGTAGTGAGACCGAAAATGAAGGACGAGATGAAAAAAACAATAATAATAACAGATCTATGTCTAAGATCCAGAACCAGAACGAAACAGTTAATAAACAAGATTAAGTTAGAGAAAACAAAAAAGAATAGAATTTTAGTAAGAGAAGACTATTATATAAAAGATAATCTAATGTATACCTATGATACGAACACAAGAGAGATTATACAATTGAATCATTTTTTGGGAACAAACTTAAATCAAGCTTTGAAACAGCAATGAATAAATTTAATTTGAAGCAGGATATCGACAAAAGCAATATCATTACAGTNTTAAAAAACTACAAAGTTAATAATTTATATATATTTAACTTAACAATTAAATTATTCTACAGGGTGTCCACAAAGTCTGGGTACATAAGGATTAACACATACTTTTAAAACAAAATAATTTTATTTGATTCTAATACAGTATTAATAAATAACATTTTGAATATGATTTCCATCATTTTCAATACATAATTTGATGTGCCTTGCAAAATTCAGGTGAACTCGATTAAATAGGTCTGTACTGCCATCAATTTCAGCACACTGACTGGTAATGGTGTCCACGAATTATGGCACATCAAATTATGTATTGAAAATGATGGAAATCATATTGAAAATGTTATGTATTAATATTAGAATCAAATAAAATTGTTTTGTTTTAAAAGTATGTGTTACTCCTTATGTACCCAGACTTTGTGGAAACCCTGTACATATATTTAGCATTTTTATTAACTTTTTCATTACAAAGGGGATCTGGGCCCCAACTACTCACTGATTACACTATCAGAATCAAAATCTTAACTACTTTTTTCTGGTTCACACTTACCATCTCTTTCCAATTTGAGTTTTCTTAATTACCCTTTGACTGATAACCTCTTGACTTATGAACTCAAACTTGACTTTCCCACATTCAATATTTGACAACATAATTTTATTGTCAAAAATATTCCTATGGAACAGAAAGTGCTGTCTGACTAGATAATTTGAAGAGGTAGAATTTTAGTTAAATTCTTTACTTGTCACTCTAAACTACATTACCCCATACAGCACAGTACTTCAGAGTTTCCCATGCTTTTCAATCCAGAATTTATTTTTAACAAATTTTTAATTTTCCAAGTTTATTGAAAGACTGGGTGTATTTGAATGCCAGGGTGTAATTCAAAAAATAAGATATATTATAAAATAAATAAACTAGTGACATATACAAGTTTAAAGAATTTTTATGTTATATCAAAAGCAAAATATTATACTTACAATTATTTTGCTCTTTTGTTTATGACCTGATTTTGATAACAATTGTCTTGTACAGGGAGACGAAGAAACAATCTTTAATAATTATAAAATAATGATGTAAAAACTATATTTTAAATTCAAACTTCATACTTTTTTATTTTTATTTAATTTCTACTTAAAATGAGACCGTATTTATCAGAAATTGAGAAAGTTAATATATCTTTTAAATATAAAATTACAATACAAAAAAATATATAAGTTACTTTCAAAAACTTATTCTTAACAAATATTAAATTTCAAATTGTTAATCACTAAATTAAAATTTAAATATAATTAATGAAAAAGAATCATATTCTAACAGATCAAAATATATNTTGAACGGAACTCAATACAATGGAATTTTTCTGTACATGCTCCATATACAGAAGTTTGATTACTTTAACACAAAGAAATTGTATTCATTATATTTAATTAAACAATATATTTACAATATTTTTGAACAATTTAAATTTATCATTATTAAATTAATAAGTACAGCATTCACAATCATTTTAATCCAATTATTTCAAAGGATTTTGAGAGTTTGAAAAATGAAAGATATTTATAGCAATGTAAAATATATTGGAAGACTTGAGGATTTGAGAATTTAAAGCATTTGAATTCTGTGTATTGATATGTAATTGAATGAAAAAGTGATATTTCTCACATGCATCAATAAAGATTCACTGCACAGATAGAAGAAATGGACTATAGACCATTTGAAGAAATTGCACCTGCAATCACTCAAACAAGCTATAAAGTTTATAAAGCACTTATTTAGTCTGGAAAACAGTTAAATCTGCAAAATATACAATAAAAATGATAAATGCATATAAAATACTCATTATTGGACAACCTAAATTTGATGCACATGGACCCAAATTGTGTTTTTATTGTGGTTTTAACATCATAGCAGTTAAGGAAAAAGACATGCACATGCATATAAATCCAGACCTTATATATAATATTAAAATATTTTTCATAAATAAACTCAAAAATGTTTTTTCAATGTACTAGTTTTTCTAAACATTACTGATATTTAGTAAAACTATGATTGTTTCTTATAAATTGTTATTCTGCTCATTATGCACTGGAGTTATTTTAGTGTTTAATTTTTACTTTGTTCTGAATTTCTTTATTGTTTAAAATATTTTTTTATAAAGCTGAAAGTATTTGGAAACTAAACTACAAATTATTTCAATTTTTCCTTTATAACAAAATATTTTATAAAAATCTGAGATTATGGGTGTATAAAATTTATTTCTGAACTGTATATTAATTTATGATAAACTTTTAATCAAGGTATATGAAAGCTATTTACAAAATCAAATATTCAGAAATTCACAAATACATTTTTATTAAAATTTTAACATTATGAAATGAATTTTTTCATTAATTCAACATATTTTATTTTGCAAAAGTCCAAAAAGACATTCATTTTGATTTGTATTTCAATATTATAAATATACACATTATCAGAAATGGTATTAATTAACTATAGGCTATTAATAATTATGGCACTTTTATAATAATCATTTAAAATTAACTTATAAAAATTATTTGTAGATTTATTTATAAACATAAAGATAAACTTATCTTTCATTTCTTACCTCTCCTAAAGTACATTCCAGAACACTCAGAAAATCATCATCGGCAAGAGTTTTAGTATCATTATCAATATCATATACAACAAATTTCAATTTTTGAACTTCTTCAAAAAAATAATCTATTTTGATTGATCTACAAAAATCTGGATTGTGGTTATTTTTTATGATTTCTGTCCTTCCCACCTACAGATTTAAACAATTAATTAATTAATTTAATTTGAAACATAACAATGTAATAAACATTTACAAAAAACATAAAAATATTTATATTAAAAATAAAATAATATTATGCATCAAATATAAATAAATATAAGTGTAAGGATATATGGTGCTAATTGTCACTGCCCGATACCTAATTCATTAGGAAATCAAACTCAGTGAGGGTTTGCAGATAAAACCATGTTTGTGGGTGTAAAAGATTTAGACTCAAACACCTTTACAAACTTTTTCATTTATTGATACAGAAATTGTCACTTACATCTAACCTTCTTTTGTCTAGAACAATAGTTTTTAAATCCAATACAAGTTTGGATGATGCCGGGCTGGAATGGAGTTGTTGATGAGGTGGTCGGGATCATTTACTCTAGAGATTTGCAGAACACCACTCTCAAGCAGAGGTGTAAGATGGTGACTTCTGTGTTTCCAAGAGATGAAGTCATGCATTTATTAGGAGCCACCAAAGGAGAAGGTACTTGATGACAGCTTGCTGCAGCATAAAATGGATTTGCATTCCATGGCTAGATCAAGAACATGCTTGAAGAAAACATACTAAGTTGACTGGTAGATACTAGCAGATTAACAGAGAAAGTGAATTGACACAGGTTAGGGAAGAATGGATAGAGCTTGAGATGCAGATTTATATAGAATTTATCCATGGACAAAACAATTTAATCTGCAACAGAGCCTACATTGATATTTCAGAGTCCAAATATCAATGTAGGCCTTGTCGCAGATTGTACCTTTTCTGAAGAGGGATCAGCAAGGATTCCAATCCCAAAATTCATTTAAATAAAATATCTGAGAATTAATCATTTTTCTAAGTAATTCTTGAACTGGGGTGAGTGTCGGATCCAAAGGACATAACATGTCAATTTATTTGTTCAAAAAACCAATTTTAAGTGATTATAAAAGTGAATACTAAATTTTATCTGAGAGAATTTTTCTACTAAAAATATCATTTGAAATCAAGTGTCAATGATACATGATTTCAAATATGATATGATGTAGTTGTCAGGACATGATATGACTTGATATCAGTTGTTGGAAAATGTTATATGATATGACAGCACTTCAAATATGTTTTACTCAACACACAGTAATATCAATCATTCTTATCTGTTAAAACATTTTGTATGTTTTTGATTTTTGAATCTTTAACAACAACTAATGTCAAGTGATATTCATGTTGTGACTGACATCACTTGATATCATCTATAACATTTGACATCATGCCCAAAAGCTTTTGAAAATATCTTTAAAAAATTTTATTGTTAATTAAAGATTTCTGGCATCTATAAAACTGTTTAACAATGCACTTGGTATCATTTGAAATCAATCAGAAACTATTACAGAAATGATATAATGTCCAAAATCATTTTGGACAGTCTCAAATGACATAAAATGATATTACTTGTAATTATTTCATTAATTGATATGAAGTAATATCATTCTTATTATTTAAAACTGTCCAAAAATCACTTGATATCATATAAAAACAGTAAAATATTTTTACTAGGATTTATATTTAAGAAAAATTTGTACAAAATTAAAACATAATTGAATTATTAAATTTTATTCTGACTACAGAATAATTAATTCACTTGCATAGATATATTTTAAATTTTAAAAACTTACTTCAGTAAAACGTCCTCCAACATTTAAATAAAGCACAACTGTTGGGTCAGATTTCGACGTTGCATCTCTGTCAATCAAACAGCGACAACTCACAAATAGTTCCACTTGAGTAACACATGTTGTTGGAGTTGGTCTAGAAATTCCTAGAGATGCAGGAAACTGTGCCATCTACAATATAAATTAATTTTAATTATTATTAATTTAATATCAATTTGGCTAAAACAAAGTTATTTCTTTCAAATATTTTCTTTTATATTTTCTATTACAAAAAAAAAATATATTTTACAGAATTTAAAATATATTAAGTAAATTCAATGCATACATGTGTATGCATTTAATTATCTTATGGTGTTAAAAATATTAAAACACAAACAACAAAAAGCTGAAAATTATTCTAAATATGCATTTTGAAAACATGATGACTTTTGTATTTATATTCTAATGTTTTTATTCCATTTTTGTTTTAATAGCCTGATGAAAATAATGTAAACATTATCAAAAGTGAATGAAAATCACAATAGTATAATTGGCAATTTTTATTGTGTTTATTTCCACAGTTTTAACATTGTAAGACAGTCTAATATTACTCAATGTACAGAGATATAACAACAAATTATTGATATGTACTGTACATATTAAGAATTGAAACAGTATTCTAATTATTGTACATCAAAAAGTATTTTTTTGCATATGTAAAAAGATAGATAAACTGTAATAGATAAGTGACTAGAAACAGACAATGTATATAAATAGACATGTATATAAATATTTTGATTTACACTATGAAATGTCCTAAAGACCAAGGATTTCCTCCTCCAATGATAATAAAAATCCAAAACATCACAAGAATTCAAGAATAATACAAAATATATTAACAATGACATTTAAAACATATAAAATCTTGGTATAAAAAATGTTCAACATTGTATACATTATTCCATTGTTATGCAAAGAAGGGGGCGAGGGAGACCGCGTAAGGAAGACGCTAAAGAAGTTGAAGAAAATAATCAATTGATAGAGCTACTGGGAGAAGAATATCTATCAGAAGATTATGCGAAGGAGTCTACTGGTAATTCTAGAAATGCTACAATTAGAGACTTATTTGAACCGACAGGAGAATCAGTGTTACAAAATTGCGAAGAGTCAAAATATTCACTTAAATCAATTTATGAGTTGATTCAGGAAAAGTTCGATAGCTTAAATCTGAAAATTCAAATAATAAAATCTGAAATCAACATCATGAAAAAAAACAATGCCAAGGTCAAGGAAGAGATGAAAAATATTACCCAAAAGATCCACACACTGGAAGAAAAGTCTAATTCTTACACCAATTTAAAAGGTATGTTGGAATTTGAATTCGATAAAATGTTAAATGGAAATACAAAGGAAAATTTAGTTATTTTGAACTTTCCATTTAAAACTCTGGATGTGTTAGAAGAGTTTAAAAAATTTACTAATGATGTTCTGGATCTTAATAATATAGAAATTGAGGGCCTTGTTCAGTTAAAAAATAATCATAATAAGCAAATAATAAAAATCATAATGGAATCAGTTAAAGACAGAAATATAGTCCTCAAAAAATTCTGGGTAGTGAGACCGAAAATGAAGGACGAGATGAAAAAAACAATAATAATAACAGATCTATGTCTAAGATCCAGAACCAGAACGAAACAGTTAATAAACAAGATTAAGTTAGAGAAAACAAAAAAGAATAGAATTTTAGTAAGAGAAGACTATTATATAAAAGATAATCTAATGTATACCTATGATACGAACACAAGAGAGATTATACAATTGAATCATTTTTTGGGAACAAACTTAAATCAAGCTTTGAAACAGCAATGAATAAATTTAATTTGAAGCAGGATATCGACAAAAGCAATATCATTACAGTAAATAATAATAATAATAATAATAATGAAGTTAACCTAGTAGTTGTAAACGGAATAATCAAAGATAATGAAATGATACTGTCAGAAAATGATAGATACAATCTGTTAGTAAGTTTTTGGAATGTCCAAGGTCTGAGAGGAAAGCTATATAAAAATTCGGTGAGAGAGTTTTTAAATTCAAATGACATAATCGGAATCACAGAAACATGGATATTAAATTTAAGTGTAGTGGAAAAAAATACTTTCACTCAAAATCATAGTATTATAACTAGTAACGCTCAACGTAAGAGTAAATTCGGTCGTCCTGCACGAGGAATCTTGATGCTAATTAAGAAGAGTTTGGGGGACATACTTTACCAATATATTTCAGAGTACTTTGTTGCTGCAATAATCAAAGTGGAAAGTAATATTAAAACAAGATGGAATTACTCTTATTTGGGGCTAATAGTAATGTACCTCCCTCCGTCAATTGAGAAGAGAAACGTTTTACGTGAAGTTCAAAATTATATAGAAAGATGATCCTTTTTAGTCCAGCAATGGCTAATTGGAGGAGATTTTAATGCTCGAATTGGAGAAAACACTGATACTGAATTTTCTCAGAATTTTGACAATATTAGTAACAGAAGAACATCCAAGGATAAACTGCTAAACATAGATGGTAAAACACTTCTAGATTTTGTACAAGATAATCAATTAATAATTTTGAACGGTAGATTAAAGGGGGATATTCCGGCAGAATTTACATTATTTAATATATGATAAAAGTATGAACGGCGAGATAAAGAGTCTAAAAGGGAGCAGAAATAAAAGATGAGCTAGTGCTCACAAACAGAGCCAGGAAGGTTGAACATTTTTATTAAAGTATTTATGGAGGAAATCAATTGTCCAGGGATACTTCCTATTGAATTTTTAAAACAAATAAATTACAGAAATTCATATAAAAACTTTTATTTAATAGACTTTATATGTAAAGACTTTTAACATAAATGGAGTCATGAAAGCTAATGTAAATTTCTCAGCTGGTGACCTTAATTCCTAACGATATTCCCAATGACTTATTATTAATACGTGATTATTAACAATATCTTCAATTTAATCTACACATAAATGAATTTTTCTTACTTTTTCTAATTGAGATTCCTTACAATATTTATTGTAAACAAAAGACACGTGATTCACCTCGATACAATTTGGCAACGGGAACAAAATTTTATTCCATAGTACGAATTGCGCAATTGGACCTATCACTAGTGTTTAAATGGGTGTGGAAAATTGTAACCAATGAAACGAAGCGTATTATTAAAAATTAATACTTAATCCGAATATCAACGATTTCTTATTAAAATATTGTCACCGATGTCATTTTTATATTATTTATATTTTAATCGGCAAATATCTTTTATTTGATTTATACATTTTGTTTTATTATTTGGTTTGCTATTTCATGACGTCATGTCAGTCACATGGCGATAATGGAAATTTCGTATTGATTACTTCGAATAAGTTCGACAAATGTACTGACTGTACAATATAACTGAAGTAGAAACGAGTGTTTTTAAGAAATATTTATTTATAAGAAGTATAAGATATATAAAATGTAGTCGTTGTTTATTTTATTTTTAATCAAAGGATTAAAGATATCAAAAAACTCTTGTTAGTATAATATATATTTAACTAATTTATAAGATATTTAAGAGTCTTTTGAAGATACTTAGCCAGAATCCGGCATGGTCTAGTGGTTAGGATACCTGGCTCTCACCCAGGAGGCCCGGGTTCGATTCCCGGTGTCGGAAATATTTTTTGTTTTCTTTCTTTTTTAAAATTTATATTCGAAACTTTTCTTGTTGAAACGTTTCATTTAATTGCTATCCACAATTTTATACTTTCTAATATTAACTACGTAGCTATATTTCGCTGCCACGAAAGAGTTTATGACGTCACTGAAGCATTAAACGTGAGTGGATATTGTAAACAAATAAGCGTGTAAAGTATCGGTTAATATTTTGTATTATTTTAAATTATGCCGTTCAATATTTCTTATTTTTTATAACAAATTTACAAAATGGTTAAAGGTATAAATTATTTAATACAGTATATCGTATACATATTAATTTCAGTAATTATTTACATTTAACTAGTGATGAGAGAGACTACTAATTTTTTTCACGACACTCTGGAGATTACAGAAGTGATTTTGGAACTGGGTCGTAAAGCGTATTTTACCCACAGATGTATTTGTTCTCATACGTTAATTTTTACAATGAAATCATTGAAACAGGAGAATTTTATCTGAGTTATTTGCAATTTTTCGTTAAAAATATATGGAATTCAAATTAATTATTNATTTCTTTATTGTTTAAAATATTTTTTTATAAAGCTGAAAGTATTTGGAAACTAAACTACAAATTATTTCAATTTTTCCTTTATAACAAAATATTTTATAAAAATCTGAGATTATGGGTGTATAAAATTTATTTCTGAACTGTATATTAATTTATGATAAACTTTTAATCAAGGTATATGAAAGCTATTTACAAAATCAAATATTCAGAAATTCACAAATACATTTTTATTAAAATTTTAACATTATGAAATGAATTTTTTCATTAATTCAACATATTTTATTTTGCAAAAGTCCAAAAAGACATTCATTTTGATTTGTATTTCAATATTATAAATATACACATTATCAGAAATGGTATTAATTAACTATAGGCTATTAATAATTATGGCACTTTTATAATAATCATTTAAAATTAACTTATAAAAATTATTTGTAGATTTATTTATAAACATAAAGATAAACTTATCTTTCATTTCTTACCTCTCCTAAAGTACATTCCAGAACACTCAGAAAATCATCATCGGCAAGAGTTTTAGTATCATTATCAATATCATATACAACAAATTTCAATTTTTGAACTTCTTCAAAAAAATAATCTATTTTGATTGATCTACAAAAATCTGGATTGTGGTTATTTTTTATGATTTCTGTCCTTCCCACCTACAGATTTAAACAATTAATTAATTAATTAAACATTAATTAATCCCCGAATGAACATTAATTAATTAATTAATTAATTAAACAAAAGATCAGATAGTTATAAACAATAAATATTTCATAATATTAAAAAAAATAATTTTAATAAAATCTTTAAAACAGAAAAGAAAGAGACGTGGCTTCGTTTCCACAATAAAAACGTAATTTTATTGTTTAAAACCGTGTCAATTGATGAAAGTTTTTAAATGAATGACAGTAACATGTCTATGTGACAAGCAGTCAAATAAGCAAGCCAATGACACAGTTCGTTTCATATAAAACAAACTGTGTCATTGGCTTGCTTACTTAGCTGCTTGTCATTTAGATACATCCACAGTGTAGACTTAATTTTAAGAACTGAGATATGATTGTTATAAATCTAGAAAAACTACCAAACTTTCTTTCTTTAACTTATTAATATACGGCGAAAATTACATATTAACATTTATATTTAGTAAATTTCTATTAAAATAAATTATAACAAACTTCACGTTTCGAGCCTGTTCCAATGGAAACTCCTCTTAAAAATTATTTTGTATTTTAAAGTTAGCCGAAACCATTCTTTTGTCATTATAGGTGAAGGGGAAAAAGTGAATTGTCTCCAACGTTCCAATCAATAAAGGGCCTAAATAAAAATGAATATTCTATCGCTTTTTCAGCTACAATCACAATATTTATACAAATTTATTAAAATCCACTAATTGGATGTAGACTTCCATTAGTTTGATGTATTTAATAATGAATTATCTCCATATTGTATATTTTTCTATAAACTAATTGCTGATTCTATTTTTTAAAAATCTATAAATACTTGTTATAACGAAATTAATTAATTAGGTATTAAGTACCGTACGTCTAGCCAAAGAAACTATGGGACAATACAGAACAATTCAAAAGTGAAGCCAGTTTTACAGGGATTTGCTCATAGTAACTTTTTATGTTGTTCATAATAAAGTTGGTTCATTCGTTCCTCTTAATTCTGTTATATTATTATATTATATTATATTATATTATATTATATATATTTAAATGTGTAATTAAAATTAATTAAAAGCGAAATAGAATCGTTTATAATGCACATTTTCAAATGATTCTAAACATTTCTTATTTCTATTAAAAAAATTCAGCAACTCTTGTGTAACTTTCCTAGCAACAATATTTAAAACTGCGTGTGGCGCCAACTGTTATGATATTTTATTTAAAGAACATTTTATATAATTAATTATTATAAAACTAGTAGATAAGCCCGGCGTTGCCCGTGAAAAAAATAAGTACAAACACTAAGATTATTTGATTCTTTCGTACTTCTAACCCTTCTATTATATTATATTATTTGATTTATATAACTACAAAGGTTATCTTACGTAAAGGTTTTTCACACCGAGTGATCAATCTAACACATTTTAAAAATTCTTTATTTCTCTACTGTATACAATTTAAATAATTTTTAAAATGTGATAGATTGGTCACTCGGTGTGATAAACTTTTACGTAAGATAAGTAAGATAACTCTTTAGTTATATAAACCAAATATTATATAATATAACAAACATTAAACGAAAACCCTATGAGTTTGGTTATTTCAGCTTACTATTGTCACTTTTATCGCGATACTCGGATGGAACGAAATGGCGCAACTTCATTGGTCAAGTAGACACCAGTTGAAAATATGATATCTTAAATTTTTCTAATGTTAGCGCTAACAAAATGTTTCATTCACAGTCGACTAAGAAATGGCGATCCGCCAACGAATCAAATTTCGCGAAAAATGGAACAAATATTTAAACTCGGCATCCTGGAAAACCGCTTAAATCATAATTCGTGCAGGCTGGTAACCTCGTATTACGCAATTTTCATATTCGAATGCCACCATACCGATGGTTTGATAGAAAGAAGGTACTGCTGCGGAATGGGGTTGAAGTAAATTCGATCAAAAGTCGTCGTTGACCTCCTCCAAAAAGAGAGGATGGTCGACGACTAATCATTAATACAGATCTACTATTAATATTTGAAAAGTGATCCTTGTTAGACAAGTTGTGTATATGACGGAAATTTCTAACCTTCCCAGACTTCATATGACTAGTTTATTCACGTTGAGTCTTACTGTCAAATCTGCTTCCGCTATTCTTATACCACAATTTTCAAAAGTTTTCTTTACTTAGATGTTTTTGCTGAGCTTTACTTTTTCAACCTGGCTTTACAGTTTTTTACGGGATCACATAAGAGCAATTATTTTTGCATTTTTACAAGATTTTGTTCATATAAAGTGCACATTACACATACTACAACTACAGGAAATTTTGAATGAAGCAATGTCACTAGGATAATAAATTTAAAAAATAAACTTCAACAATGAAAAAGACTTCGAGCTGTACTTTGTGACTTAATTTTATTAAAGTGTTTCGTGTACATCTGAGATAAAACGTTCATAATTTGAAAAAGATTGATCTACAGAGGCTTGATGGCAGTTTCTCTACCTGTAAAAGGCTTTATTTTTCTGGGATTATCACTGGTCTTTTCATTTCGTGCTGTTTATAAATAGTTACAATATTGCTTTTTTAAGTTTATGTAAAGGAATACGGCTATTATCTTCTAGTAAACACACAGAGCCTAGTGATTTTGCTACGACGTTGTCAAAAATGGAGACGAAATGTTATCTTTTATAGTAGTTTCCTTGTCGTAATTAGCAGATGGCATACTCAATGGTTTGAGATTAGTTTGTCTTTGACAGCAGACGGAATACGCTCTGTTTTATATGTTTTAAACATAGACATTGTGTAACAGTTTATCAAATTTAACCTATCATTAGAAGCAAGTGGTAAGGGTTTAATTTTACCGACAACACCTTTAAATGGTTCCGAGGAAAATGTTTTAATTTATACGAATTAAATATTTTCGATAAATGAGAAACGTTTGCCTGCTGTCATATCGAATACCAAATGCCAAATGCTAATGAGACGGTAAATGCGATTGCATATACACCGCAGTCGAGTCCATGTTGTTGTACTCTCGGAAAGCTCAAAGATATGTCAATATTAATATCAGGATACAATTTCTGTAAGAATATTCCGTAGCTATTTTGTCATAATTCATATAATCGTATATACGAATGCGTTTTGTCTGGTAACGTAAACAAATCCAATGATTATTGCTACACAAAATTTGTATCCCGAATCCAAAAGAGTAAAAATCTGGGAAAGTCTTTCTTTTGTTATAGGCCTACACTGTATAACTGCTGGAAAAGTATCAA